TAAAGAATCTCTGCCTATATTTGAAAATATTTCTGTACCATGTCAGTCTACGGTGGAAATGAAGTTATAAACAAAATAATTAGAAGCTTCCAAACCCATCTGTATTGACTCTCTTCTACAATAAGCAGAATTTTATTTTTTAAATCTATTTTATTGAAATAAGCAGACCCAAAGGGAGAACTGATCATGTATATCACATGACCCAGAAAAGTAGCAGATATGTACAGTTGAGAATTCAGTTCCTCTCAGGACAAAGTAATTCTGTTTAAAAGGGCAAAACAAGAAAGGACTCTCTTTAGAAATACATTTTTTAAACATAAGGCGTTAAGCAGAAAATGGATTAATTGTACTATTTATTTGCATGTTACTTAGAATGGAAATAAAAGCCTCAAGAAGCTAAAGATCAAGACAGTAAATTGACCATTTAATTCCTTATGTTATTATAGTAATGGGTCCAGGAGATTTTTGGTTATTAAGGTATATATTGCATTTCTTATTTACAGTCATTAACCTAATTGATCTCATTTAAGCACACAATTTCAATATGGCAGCTTCTAGAGTCACTCCCTCCTCTCTTTCATTTACTTTTTTTTCTTATATGGTGCTCATACTGAATTTGTTTAGTTGGGTCCTCTTCTATGACGTATTTAACCATGTATTGTTTCAAAAGTTGATGACATGCATGTGTAAATAATTATTTATTTTATAGGAAAAGCATGGCACTGTCACAAAGTAGAAATACTAAACAAATATTACTGAGTAGCTTAAGATTTCATGATTCGATGATTATATATAATGTACCTTACAACACACATACACATACAGACTTAAAATTTGGGTTCTTATTTATCCATATTAGCAGTTCAGTGCCACAATGCTAAAATGCTTTCTCATAATACTCATTATTCTGAAATATTTTACTAATCTGTCTCTTGTGTTTTCATTTTCAATAACAGCTGATTTTTATGTAATTTTGTCAATGTCACACACAGAAAATGAATGTTCAGTTATTTTCTTCTTTCCTGTGCTTTGTTCATAGTTCTATCTGTTAGAGGCGACACATTATTCTTACTGAGAACTAAATAAAATTTGACTCATACAATCTGTTCTAAAATTAAATCAGACAAAAGTTATTGTTTTCAACATGATCTGTGTAAAAATAAGAAGATGAATTAGAATATCCACCTGTAAAAAAAAAGACTGGCTTTTCCCACTGCTCAGGTGCAAAGTATGCTATTACCTATTATTTGAAATTTGCAAGCATTTGTGGTTCACAGTGAAAAGTGTACATTTTCTTACATTTCAAGTTTAAAGAAACTCTCTTCCATCATAGTGTCATTAAAATTTAAGATTAATATTTTATAAAGAAATGAATGTTGCTGCGATACATTTTTTGGCTTAGTCCTTCTAAATTGTGTATCACAGGGTTACAGAGTTAAAACATTTAGCTCTAGAAGTGCAACCCCTCCTACTATTTGTTTTCATTATGCTCCTTGGTGCTATGTGTTTAACCCTTAGGTAACTTCTCATCAAACTTGCCTTTTCGCAATAACACAAGGTTTTTATTTTAGGTGTAGTCATAACTTCCCATTACTGTAGGTATATATACTTGCTCTTGTGAGTCACCACATAAAACAATTGCGTCTCTTCTGCTCTGGGGGTCCAAAAAACTAAATGTTCCTCTATTGGGGCCAGTCTTGGTGAATAATCATAATAGAAACATTGTAAAACAATGTGGAAATCCTAAATTTATATTCCATACATTCAAGACTAGCTATCTTTTCCCTTTTATAATTCTTCTTTCTATTTCCTCCCACTAGCACCCATGAAATTTTTCACATCATACAAATGTGAAACTTATCTGAAACCATCTGCTGTGTCTGGAAACAACCATGAGACTTTTTTTCATTATTCTTAGGTGTCTATGAAGACCACACTCAATTTGCTCAGTTTGCTCGAATTTTGATGCCAACTGTTATTAACTGTCCCTCTCTACTTTCCAGTCCTCATTCCACCCCTGGGGAATATTCTGCATTCCTAAAGGAACATTCAGCATTATCATCAGTTAGTTTTAATTAACTTCACATATTTGAATGATGGTACGCTAGATGCTATGAAAAACAATTTAAATAGATTTAGTCTCTGCCTTCTAGCCATTTACATATTAAACCACCATAGAATGAGTTGTTATTTTTAATTGGCCATCGAGTATAACATTTTTTATGTAAAATTCTGCAAAAATTAAATAATTCAATTGCCTTCCCCCATGAAGTTTGCTTAATAATGCTCAATGAAATATGGTGAACAGCTAAAAATGCCCGATATGTATAATAGTTTCATTCTGGACTTCCAAGGAAGTGAAAATGACTTTGGTAGCTGACAATTGGCATCTTATAGCTAGGCTGAAATAGCTTCAACAAACATAAGCAATTCTCTAGAATCTAAACAATAATCCGATAAAGCTACTCAGTGACTATGGGGTGGAATAAGAAAAGGCAAGTCTATTCCATGACCAGGTCTGAAAGCAGAGACCAAGATATTCAGGACAACCTCAAAAATTAGCGTGATTAATTACGGCAGCTTTATAATAGCAAATCTAGTTCTGCTTTAACATCTGTGCTTTCTGTGGTTGTAAATGGCCTTCCTGCCATGTGCAGACATGGAGAAAAGATGGCCGACTATGAACCAGGATAAAGGTCCTCACCAGATACTGAATGTGCCTGCTCCCTGGTCTTGAACTTTTGGCCTCCAGGACTGTGAGAAATAAACTTCTGTTGTTTATAAGCCACCCAGTCTATGGTATTTCTGTCACAGCAGCCTGAACCCACTAAGAAGGCATTTGACATTTATTGTAGGCTTACTGAATGCCATAAACTTGACTTAAGTTGTCTAGTTTGTCTGCGCAGAAATTAATTCTCTAGTTTATAATCAAAGCTCAAGCAATTTCAGCAACTGTCCTAAGATCTCACTGCAAATAAATGTTGAAATTTGTAAATAATCTCAGTTTGGGCTCTAAAATACACTTGTTTCCAAATTTCCTTCAATGAGAACAGGAGGAAAATTAATAAACTAACCTAATATAATTGATATACTCTCAAGTTTTAATTATTTTAATTAATAACTACTAAAATAAGAATCATTAAAATATAATGAGCAATAGTTTAAAATAATAATCAGGTTGATATTTTCTCTGTTAAAATTTTTTTTAAAAGTCTGGTCTTCCTGGTACTTCTCTGATCTTTTGTCATGATACTCTCTTACTTTCCACTCTACCCTGGTCTCACTGGTATCCTTGCTGTTTCTAGAAACATAAAAACAACACACATGTTCTGACTTTAGGGCCTTTGTACTGGCTTTTCCGTCTGATTTTTATACATATTTTATGTAAACATTTGACTATATTAATTTAGTTAAATATTAAATTATTTAAATATAGTTATATTCAATATATTGTTATATGCTATATATTAAAGTATACATAACATATAGTCATATAAATATATATTTATAATATTAAAAAATATTTATATGATACATTAATACTATATAATATTATATCATATTTAATATAATATATAATATGTGATAAAATATATATTCATATATAAATGTATTATATGTTACACATTGATACACATACATTCCCTAACCTTGACTTTCATTCTAATTGTACTTCTTACCACCTCTCTATTTTTTTTCCATAGAATGTAACACATAGCATGCTATATGTTGTATTTATTTATTTTGCTTTTCTGTCATTCCTACCTACCTAGAATGGATGCTGTAAGAGAACTAGATAGAGTTTGTTGCCATTGGTAGTGGTAGTACTTTTGACATTTGGAGACAACCTCAGTTAGTTTTGTTAATGATGTTCTACTTTCTTCACTTCTGCAACCCCAGTGCCCAAAAGAATGCCTGTTTCATAGCAGGCACTCGATATATTCTTGTTGAATAGATAAATGAAAACAAAATACAATGAGGCATATTAGAGGATCAGTACTTAGACTTAATTTAATCTTAATTTGAAGATTCAATGCAATTTTATATCACACCATATGCATTCTAAATTGAAGCTATAAATTATCACATATAAAGCCAAACCAAAAAAATCTCTAATATATGAAATATTCAAGTAAAATGATTCAGAACTATAACTCTTTGTGCTCTACTCTTTTTAACTTTACCTTACATATTTCAATTCCACTCATTCTCATTTTGATAGATATTTCTAGATTTACTATATCCCAAGGACCTTGCTAACTACAAGTGTCATGATTATAAGTCTACCATTTGCTGGTTGTATGAACTTGGCCAAGTGACTCAACCACTATAATCTTCAGTGTTCTTATCCATAAATCATGACTGAAGAGAGTAGTAACTATTGATCAAGTTGTTAAGCGGATGTCTTTACGTGAGATACCATGAATTGAGATAATACCAGCAAAGCATTTAGCACTGCCTGTGCTCACTGGAGTCATCCAATTAATGTTCTTATCACTTGTAAACAATAACGATGTTAAGAAAGACAGCATAATAGATATGCCCCTGTCTTCATAAAGATTTAGTATATTTTTAAAAAATAGTAAAAAAAATTCTAATTTAAAAAACAGATGGGAAGCCACGTTTTCATATAATAAAGTTATATTCAGAAAGTTCTTTGAGGTTTTATCAGATTCCCACCTCTCTGATTCTGCCAAAATTACTGCTCTTCCTACCAACTAGAATGCATACACATACATCAAGCCAACATTTGAGAGATAATTAGGAGTTTTAATAACCTTTTGCTATCTCCTTTACTTTTCTTCCTTGTCAAGAATGATACTCTGGCAAAGACTACTTTCCGTTGAATGTGATTAATACTAGTAAGAGTAATTTTACATCATTTTGCTCTAGATTTTGCTGCACATTTGCTGTAACTTCAGGAAATACTGAAATGATTTTAAATGTAGATGGAGGGATCTGCTGCCAAGATAAAGAGTTGAGGAGTAGCATTTACTTACAGTGTATTTCTAGCACCTGCATGGCCACCTGAGGGGTGGCATTGAGAGATTCGTGGTCCACCCTACAGATGACGGCCACGCCATCGTCACTGCGGTCCACTCGGAAATCCAGTGTGCTGCTGACTGTGAAAGTCTTGCGATTTGCATCCTCTTCTTTTAAATATTTTACATCTGAAAATAAAATATCCATTTTAAAATTCTGTGAAATTCTCTTTTAAAATGTAACAGATCTCACTTACCCGAGACACTGACTAGAAGTGCTTTCTCCCTATCTTTACCCAATTTTGGAAAGCAAATATTTGTTAGTTTAACATTTGATTCATTTCAATTTGAGCAAAGAAAAATAAAACTATTTCAGAAATAAATTTTAAAAGTTAAACACAGAAATTAAAGGGCAGGTCATAGAACTTTTATTTCTTTCATGTAAGTTTTTTTTTTTATACTTCATTCGAAAAATCAGGCCATTTTACAGTATTAATATCTTTTCATTTGATTTCAGTTATACTTAAAGATAATCTTAATTCTCTGAACCACAAGTACAGTTGGGAAGGGCAAATTCACAACCATCTGGGTATGCCTAAAAGAAAGTATGCTTTTAATATGAACAATGTGAGGTGGACATAATTGCTAAAGAATACCTAAGATGAGAAAGTCATCATCTTTGGTAAAGAAGGAGGACAGTCATCTGAATTTTTTGAGTATTTAAATATATTTAAATATATATAGATATATATTTGAAGTGAAATTTATACTCAGATAGATGCTCTTCACTTGGTTGAAGAATTCATTTCCGTATGAACGAGGATACTTTCATCCAGATGTGAATTCACTTATCGATATCTGAGCTTACTGTGCATGAGTCAGATTCATTGTTAAATGGTGCACTTAGGGATTATTTTTCTCAGTGGAAAAGAGATTTAATAATATTTTCATTTCGTTTGAAATTTCTCAAGTCTAAAGTAGCTGATAAGAAGAGGGCAATTTTAATGAATTAGAAATTAAAATGATAGGCTAAAGTTAAGATATCATTTTAACAAGATCTGAAGCATAGCTGAATGTAGTTGACAGAGAAAGCTGTTCCGATTTCTTAGACTTTCATTTCAAATGAACAATGATATTTTTAAGAGAAGAGTTCTTTTGCATAAAATGTATAAATTGTTTGATGCTCTATGTAAAGACCTGACTTTAAAAATAATATTGAATTTTATGTATTTGATGGGTAGACATTTGCATGGCTCATTGAATTTTACTTATTTCCACAGAAGTATGACTTTATCTTAGTCACTGATTTTAAAAATAAAACAAATATTAGTAAAGAATAAAACTAGATAAATGTTCCATGTCTTGTTTTAAAAATGTATGTTTATGACCGTATTCACAAATTAGGAAAATAATGATTTAATTAAGACTTTTACAAAAAATGTACATAATTTAGGCACTTTTTGTGAGTAAGAAAAATTTCTAACATTTGGGAAGAAAGAAAAGAGCATAAAAATTCCAACTCTGTCTTTAACTATAAATTAATCATGCAGGATACAGGGTTTTTCATAAACATTAGTTTTATGAAATATCTTTTTTGTTAACCAAAGTAATTTCTGACATTTTTACATTTGAAAATGAGATTTAATTTCAGTTAAAAAAATATTAGAGTAAAAGATAAAATGATCCCCTTTCAGTCAAAATATATCAGGATAATACAGATGCATTTATAGATCTCTGCTATATTAAAAAATGAGTTCTTTTATTTTTCAATGTCTCATAAATATATACAAAATGTTGCCTCATTTTCATATTTTATATCCTTTCTTATAAATCTATGTCCAATGAGCAATGTTTTCTTGCTCACAGCTCTAAGTAGTGGCAGTATAAGAAAATTTAGATCTCTTACCAAACCGCTTTTATAATTGTTATACTATCTATGTTAAATTATTCCAAAATATTGCTTCCAATTTGTTTAATAATAGCTGCATTTTAAGAACTCACATCTGCTTTCTTTAACTGCTTCTTTTACAAAAGTATCATTTAATGTAATATTAATTGGACACATAAAATCTGACAGCAATTGTGTATAACATAAAATTTTAATGAGCATCATTCAACAAAATAAACAAAAGTATAATTTGTTGCTTTTAATATTAGCTTCTGTGACAGCTTATAGGGTTACAAAAAGGCATAAGATGAAAAGGAAAAAGCATGGAAAAGAGCCAATCATAGTATCTTTCTCCAAATTTTCTGCTGACCTCCTCAAACAGGAAATTGTACTTAAAATTTATTTCTATTTTGCTTCCTAGCTTTATAAAATAACTGACACATTACACTGTAACAGAAACAATAGAAATTTTCCTTATGTTGCAGAGTTAATTTGCTGCTTCCATGTGTATTCTTGTTTCATGTTGTCTTATTTTAAAGTTTTCATTTTTTTCTCCTTTCCCATGTTACTACGTGACATTGTGATCAAGAGTAGTGTTTCTTGAAAAGGAATGTGCATATGAATCACATTTGTGGCTTATTAAAATGCAGATTCTGATTCAATAGTTGTAGGTGGAGCCTGAAAGTTTGATGCTGGTCCACAGACATATTTTGAGGAGCAAGGGTATAACGGATATATTGATGCCAGAGATGATCTAACCAAAGATGAATGAATGTTGAGACACAGTTTACTCACCTTTCTCTGTATCTGTCTTTGTATCTCTCTTTTTATTGCCACTCTCTCTAAGCTTCCATTCTATTTTTACTCTTTCAACATATATTTCTTCTTTTTATTTACATTTTTCAAAATATGCATGTCATATATTACATAATGTGCTTGTACAATGGCCAGCAAAATGGGTTCTCTTTTGCTCCTTTTATTTGGCAATGGTCAGGAAAACCTTATGATACCTCTTTTCACTTGAGAGTACGTTAAGTGAACCTCAGTGCCATTAACCAAAAGTTTAGATATGAGAAGTCAACTTTCATTTGCAATCTCTTCTAAGAAAATACTATATATTTGGTGCACTACATTTCCTTAGTGTGAATCAAAAGGATTACATCATCTGACTGAAAAATATTTAAAAAAGTTACCTGTCTCTAAGCCAGATGCCTCAGGGTGGTCACTATATTTGTGTAGATTATAATGCCCTTTCTTCTATTGAAGATTGAATGATTTCTTTTATATTCTATAGAAAAAAAGTGTTTTATTGTAGGCCCCCAAAATGATAAAGGATGGCAGAAAAAAAATTTAAAAGCCCATCCATTATGCAAAGTCCAAAAAAAAAAAAAACAACTATCCATTTGAGTAAATTCTATAAGCAGCAGGCAAGTGTGACTCCTTTGAAACACCTACAATAATATAAGTTTCTAGTCATCAGACAATTTATTTTACGGGATCCTGTTGGACTCAACACATGTAAGAAAAATCAACCTGCCCCTCATCAATCTATTGTGAAAATGAATCATCTGCATCAGTAAAACATTTGTGATGAGAAATTAGCTTTCTGAATACATTACCATGTTTCTCTGAACCATGTACTACCACAGTTTTGTTGATTATTTTTCAACAGGTTATCTTGTTTTCTGAGCAACATATCATTTTTAACTTCCAATTACCCACTAGGGTATTCACAAGGTTCATAATTCATGTATTCATAAAATAAATAAGTTAGAATTTTAATTCTGTTTATCTCTTGCTTTTTTACTACTTTTATCTTTTTTCTCTTCCATTATTCTTCTCCCTTCTTATCTCTCATTTCTTTCCAAGCTTTCCTAATTTTTATACTTCCATATAGTTTTCATACCCAGTATCTAGGACAGGGTCTGGAATATCATAGATGCTTAATAAATCAGCTTTGAATTAATTAAAATAATGGTCGTATTCAGTCAAGTAAAGCACTCCTTTCCTTCTAGTAAGTAGAATCATTCCATGTCAATGTGTGTACATTTGGGGGCAGTAGCCAATTGTCATTACTTTTCTTAGTACTGAACCTTTTTCTAAATCCTCTTTTCCTCACTCTCCGGAAAAAAACTGAAGATGTCATTAGAATACCCTCTGAATAAGAGGGCAGTTTCTGTTTAGGAAGAGTACAAAAGTTAGAGTTAGATGAGCAAAAACTGGGGATTAGACACACTAAGTGTAAGTAAATAATTTTTATCTAGTGCAGTTCTATTCTTTTGTTATCTTTTCCCCACTCCTCTTGACTGCTATGAATTTTTGTTTAATTCAGATCTACACTGGCCCTGGGCCGTCTTTTAGTTACCCCTTTACTATTTTCTAGGCATAGTAAGCCTGAGTGCAGCCCAAATAGTTCAGAGTTTCATGCACAAGAACTAGAGATGGGAGTTCAGATATATTTAACTGCTGGTAAAAAGGGGGAGGAAAGAAGATTGACAATATCATTAAGGAAAAAAAAACTAAATTAAAAAAAACTAAATTAAAAATACACCAAACTATTAATTTTTATTTTAAATTCATACTTGATCTTTCTACATAAAATTCATAAAAAAGAGGAAAAGCATAATTTAAAATTACCTAGATTTACAAGGAAAGGAAAAATTATGAATAGTTTCATCTCTTATAGAGGTAAAAATTAAATTGTGAATATAAAATGGTCAAGAAGAGAAATATAGATTTCTATATGAAAAAAAGTAGCAGGAAATGAGGGACAAATGATTTGTAATACTAAAGGAACATATGTAAAGATGATAAAATAATTTATGAGTCAACACTGTGAAAAGATATGAGCATAAAAAAATCAGAGGACAACTAGGGAATATCACAGTAAAAAATTCTGTAAACTCTCTGTCTAGTGAAACAATCAGAGCTGATGAAAATTATGTATTAACACACATGCACACATTTAAGTCTCTAAAAATTGTGCTAAGAGCATACAGCAAAGGGAGAAATGATTATTCAAGAAAATCTATTAAATCTTAGTAAGACCAGGTAGAGTCTATGGTACTGGACTCATGTCTTGCTCACTACCTCTACCCCACCTCCAACTCAGCAGGAGGGAAGTTGGACTGGAATGTGACCAAAAAAGATGGGGCTCCTTTTCCCTCCCAATCAAGGACTACATTATTTTTTTAGGAGAGGCAGGTAGCCAGCATTTTGTATTCCCCTTACTCTTGTTCTTGGTTGCAGAGACTTAATTCCGAGTGAGTGTGGCTGAGAGATTAGGGTTATCTTCCTCTAC